GTTGTCAGATTCAAAATGGCCAATACTAGTCCATTTCAGCTCACAAATGCATAGGATAATGATATTTATGCCTTTCATTTAATTTTTGACAACTTGCAGTTTTCCTAGATTCAAACTTTGTACATTCCATGTTCTGATTATTAATGGATGTTTACAGCTATTTCTCATAATTTTGAGTTGTGCCCCATCAACAAATGAAGGTCCCGAATGCTTCATTCTATTTATATCATCACGATCAGCTCTACTTTGAGGACGTAGCTCTTCCCCAGTCGTATTTTGAGTGCCTTCCATTTTCTGGAACTCTATCTGACAGTAGTCTGGTGCTCTTCTTCATGTTTAAATATTCAATATTCTTGTGCTATCTGACAATGTTCCACTGCTATTTGTAAAGTTTTCAGTGACTAAATATTTGGAATTACTCAATCTCTTCTTCTGCTCAGTCTTTCTTAGTCTGGAAGCTCAGCTGAAATCTGTCCACCATGGATGATCCTGCTGGTGTTTGAAATACTGGTGGCGTCGTTTCTAGGCTCACAGCAATATGGAAGCCCCCACTGACAGATGAGTGGTGGACAACAATAGATAGGCTAGTGCAGTCCCAGGAGGACATGTCATTAAATATTGTCCTTTCTTACCCTATGAGTCAGATCTGACACCATGGCACTTGACAACAACAGTAGGTTTCCAAAGTTGTAAATCTGTACAGAAACTGACTGACATCTCTTTCTCCTGTGGAGCCACTAGCAGATTTGAGCCCCTTGACTTCTTAGTTAGCAGCTGAGCACTTAACCACTGTGTACCAGGGATCCTTCTAATATATTACAGTTACATTATTGTTAAGTGCTATTGGGTCTGTTCTGACTCATGGTGACCCTGTATAAGATTTCCAAGGAGCATATGTATATACGTTTTCTTTGAACTCTGAGCCCTTTCCCTTACCCAACCATTCAACAAACACTAGACTACAAGATTGATGGGGTAAAAAGAGTGATGTTTTTGTCTGGTTTCTATTCCTAGTGCCTGGAGTAGTACTAGGAGTCTTGGTGTGGAACTATAGGATAAGCACTGAACTATAAGGTCAGTTCAGACCACAAAGGTAACAGTTCAAACACACCAGCAACTCCTCAGAATCCCTGTAAAGAACCTATGAGTTGGAACCAGCTCAACGTTGCTTAACAACAACAACAACAAGAGTAGTACAGGCATATGGTTAGCACTAAAAAATATCTTTTGAATATTAGTAAGGTATGTTCACTGTGGAATGGTCATTCTTTCAAAATCAAAAGAACTCTACACCTATGGATACAGTAACTCAAAAGAGGGAACAAATCTTTACAGTGATGAT